GGGAGAGCACTTGATTTCTATATAAAATCCACAGGCATTGAAATGGTCCATTAAAAGCCATTGAAACATACTCCCAAACAGAACTCCACAACTGCTTTTCTGTGGCGTGACATCAAATTGCTTTGCCTGTGTGTCTACATGCATGGGAATGAGGGCAATGAGTGTGAAATATGGATACAAATTTTGTATCCATACTTCTTTCAAGGCCATAGACGCCATAAAACTGTGGTTTATGACACCAATCCTTTGTTTTATTGGCAGACTAGAAGATAACACAAGAACCACAGGGCTGCCTTCCAAATAAACAATTTCACCATAATGTAAGTCCTGTACACTTTGTATTATTTTCCTTCTGTGGGAGAAGGGTCATTATTTTATTAGGGTCATGATGAACAGAAAGCTGTGCTGTGAAGAAGTTTGTACTGTGAGATTTTACACCTAGTTTACTCATGACATTTATTTGCAGTTGGCTTAGATTTTGCAATGCAAGGAGATACAATGTTACCAACCTGTTTCTCTTTTAATGGTTGGGCTGCTGTTCCCACAAAGTGGGTTGATATCACTCCACATTTCCCAAACCTGGAGCTTTGAGAGAAGATTTTTCCAGGCAGAAACAAATGGTAACAATGATGAATCCAAGAATGAAATCATAATCATGTTTATCTAAGTCCCTTTAAACTCAGTGAGATTTAAGTAAAAAGGTGTAAGAGCAGCATTTCTCACCCTAGGAGTCAGGACCCCTGGGGGAGTCATGAGGGGTGTCAGAGGGGTCACCAAAGACCATCAGAAAACACAGTAATTTTAATCCCAGCAACGACAACTCCCAAATGTCAAGTCTATTTTCCCCAAACTCCACCAGTGTCCACTTTTGGGCATACTGAGTACTGATGCCAAGTTTGGTCCAGATCCATCATTATTTGAGTCCACAGTGCTCTCTGGACTTCCAGTAGTTTCTGTTGGTCATGGGAGTTCTATGTGCCAAATTTGGTTCAATTCCATCATTGGTGGAGTTCAGAATGCTCTTTGATTGTAGGTTAACGATAAATCCCAGCTTCTACAACTCCCAAATGACAAAATCAATCCCCCTACAACCGCACCAGTATTCAAATTTGGGCGTATTGGGTATTTTTGCCCAATTTGGTCCAGTGAATGAAAATCCTGCAGATCAGATATTTACATTACAATTCACAACAGTAGCAAAATTACAGTTATGAAGCAGCAATGGAAATAATTTTATGGTTGGGGGTTACCACAACATGAGGAAGTGGAGTAAGGGGTTGCGGCATTAGGAAGGTTGAGAACCACTGATTTAGACAGAACACTCCAACACAAATGATCTATGAAGTTGGAGAAAAGGTAGCTCAAGGAAAGAATCCAATCTATAAAGACAATGAAATTGCCCTGTAGTCTTCACTTCAACTAACAGTAATCAGCGCTACAAATAGAACAGATCAAGCCAATAATGAATTCAGTACTCTGAGGAATTCCATGAGCAGGTAAGATTTTCCAATGCCCACCAAATTAAAACTACACATTAAAACTCATAAAAGTAAAAACATTGCTCCTGCACTTCTCCAGAAAGACAGTACAGATCTTTACATCTGAAAGAATAAAGTGACCAGATAGTTTCCACTCTCTGCCACAATAGGCCCAATTTAAAAGTAGAACAAGGACAGCAGTCTTTGATAAACAGAATATTACAACCAGTGGTACTTTGTTCCTGGTGAACAGTCACAGAATTGAATTTTCCAGGTATAAGCTTAATTATGTGGGTTTCCCTCCCCTTTTCAACTGGACACTGGCTCATGCATAGTACAGAATAAAAGTGCTGTATTTCTACTTAAGCAGCCATAGTTCTGTTCAATATAGACAACTGGGACTGACAGTTTAGAAAGCAGTCTTTTTCAATATATGCTGCATTGTCTCCACAAAGTGCAAACCTCAGAATTCCACAGGATGGAAACCTGGAAGTTAATGTAAAATAATAATACTATAATTATGCAGCATGCATGGACTCAAGATGTGTGCAATATTGACTATCCCTAACCATACACAGCAGGTTTATTTTACAGCAGAGATAAGAATTCTGCATTCTTATGCAACCTAGGGATTTTGATGCAGGCTAAGGACACTTCCCCAAATTCATTTTTAAAAATATCATCTTAAACTATGTTTTGTTTTTAATTGTTCTTTCAGGGGAGGCTGCCTTAAAGAAAAATAATAAAGCCACTGGACATGAATAGAATTATTACTATTATTATTATTATTATTATCAAATACAAAAGCCAGCATAGTGATCTTGTTTGCAGTGATCTTGTTATGTATCAAATAATATTAATATTTATTTATTTACTTCCCACCTCTCCTCATGGCTCGAGGAAGGTTACAGAACAATTAAAATCACAGAAAAAAACACCACAAATGCACATATTAAAATGTGCCTCTATAAAAGTTACACACCAAAACGTATCTCTATAAAATACATATTAAAATGCACAAAACTGAGATTAAACAAAGAACATGCATTTAAAATTCATGTTTAAAGACTGTCTGGGTAGGCCTGCTGGAAGAGAGAAGTTCTCCCTTACAGGGCCCTTGCGATCTACAAATTCAGTGGTTGTGGCTAGGCTTGGGTAACCACGGAAAAATTTGGTTCTAAACTCGTTTCGTTTTTAGGGGGGGGGCCTTGCGTTTCGTTTTTTTAAAGAATTCCGAAATTTTACTTTTAAAAAGTTCGAAATATACGAAATTTCGTAAAATTACGAATCGATTCGTTAATGGCAGGCGCGATTGCGCAATATGCTAAAAACCCCTCCAAATGGGACAGGGGGAACTTCTGAAGCTTCCTTCTCCCTCTGTTGTTGACTATTGGTGTGATAATTTATTTTTTATCACTGATAAAACAAACAACAACTATAAAACTTGCACCAGACATACGGAAATAATTACGAAACAATTACGAAACAATTTCAAAACAATTTTGAACCAATTACGAAACAATTACGAAACAATACGAAATAAATTGGAAAAACTGTTTCGATTTTTAATTACTCCTCACAGTAGTCCTGCATGGCTCAATATTGGATCGTAAGCTAATTTAAATACGAATTAATAACGAAATACGAAAATAACGAATGAAACCGCCCAAGCCTAGTTGTGGCCTTTTTAACACCCCAGGACTGGCTATCACTATGCCCCTTTTACATGGACAGACTTTTAAATCAGGCATAAGAGAGACAAGTAGACCATCAGAAATGGGTCACTTCACATTAGATTAAATCTGAAACTAGACATATAGACATAATGTTAGGAATCGCAACGCAACAAGTATTCATGTATTATGACATGATCCTTCTAACTAGCATTTCTAGTTCAATAGTCTCAGGTAGTAGGAGTGAGAAAGATGGCTCAGACTCTGGAGAGTTGCTGCCAAGTACAAAAACAGTATAGTGTTGGGAAAAAAACATTAATCTGATACTGCTGATTTTACAGTCATATTCATAATCACAATGCCCAATACTAAGTATTAGGAAGATGAGCCCATAGTCATTACGAGTTGATGCCTTCCAACTCAACAACCTGACTTGCCATAGTGCATAGTTGGGATGCAATGCATCAGAAACTACAGTAGAAAAAGAAAACATCGTGGACATAAAAAAAAACGATGATATTTTGGACATACCATAAGAAAATATGACTCACTAGTAATGATTGGTAAAGTGGAGAGAACTACAAAAAGAGAAAGGTCACACTCCAAATGAGTAGACTTAATCAAGGAAGCTACATTCCTGAGTTTGCAAGACCTGTTAAGGGTAGGTTGATTTGGATGTTTCTCACTCATAGAGTCATCTTGAATTGGTCAACTTGAAGGCAAATAACAATAACAAATATCCAGAAGACAGCAAATAGATAAGTTCTCTTAATGCCCAAAAAAAAATCAAATAAGGTCAACTGGGATCAATTCACACTATGGAACTACATCCACTTTAACTATCCTGATCCCATCCTATAGTGTTCTATGCCTGGCAGTATAGGGATTTATAGGCATTTAGAATTCCTAATCAGAACTCTCAATTGTGTCATCAAACTAAAAACCCTAAGACAGAACCATGGCAGTTCAAAATTTATTATTATTATTATTATTCCTTCATTGTCTGCACGAATAAGCCCCATTTTATGTTAGGCTCAGCAACTTCCAGGGGTCAGCAGCCCACATTGGGCCCATACAAGACTCTGGAAGGAATATCTCACTGCAGACATCCCACTTTACTCACCTTTACATTTAAAAATAATGTATTATTTTAATCACCCTCCCCCTACCCAGCCCTTAAAGAAAGAAGACCTAGAGTTCGACTTTACTGCTTTTTAAAATAAAGATTTCTCCAGAACCTATAACACCAGGGAGAGGATTTTAGCACATGCATAACTGCCTTGTGCAAGTGTTTAGATTTTTAAAAAGTGGGAGGGAGAGTTGAAAGGGCTGGGAATAACTAGTGTTTAGCTGTGTCAGGAATAACTGAGGTTTAGTGGAGTTTCAATTTGGTTTTATTTTTTTAAAAAAAATCGATTTAACACCCATAGAAGATGGTTTCAAAGAATAAGTACCTCCTTAGCACTCAATAAAAAGAAACAAAGGCTATCTCCATACACATAAATTATATTTAAGGCTGCATTGATTAATATCCATTCAGGGATGTTTTATGCTTTCCTTTTCAATCTCTTTCTTACACTGTGCAGTGATAAGGTCTTCATGGCTATAAAAGAGATTGTAATTTTTTAAATTTGTGTCAAGACATACCACAGGAATATCACTTCTCTTTTGTCTTAAGGTACTATATCTGACTGAACGTGTTTTGTATTGGGTTTATAGCAATACAGGGGCACTCGGACAAGAACGAACACTCTGGCTACCAACTGAACTTGGCACAGAGTTCCAAGTGGCCATGAGCAGAAAAAGATGATGAATGTCAGGTCCTGTAACCCATCATAATGCATCTTACCCAGGGCACAGGTACTGTCAGGAAAGCAGTGTTCTTCACACAAACCAAGGTATGGAGACACAACCAATTTAACAAGCTCCTCCAACTGCATATAGGCCTTACTGGGACCTGTTGGTTCATGGACTCCCTGTAACAAAGGTAGAAATACTATGAAAACACATAAATTTCAACCAATTCATCGCCAGTTCATATGAATGGATATAGATGTTTTATAATAGCCTCAGAATCCATTTTTTATTTTTAAAAAGATGGGAATAGTAGAAAAAGGAGATCTAGTCTACAAAAATCTTCTACATCAGATTTGAGGTTGGGAAAGAACAGTTTCATGTTTTAGCCAGTCAACTATATTCTTCAGCTCTCACTCCTCTCTACATCATCACCATTTTCCAACTGACATTTGGCATTATTTAGTTTGGAAGTAAAATTTAAATCAAAGCAAGGGACTTGTAAAATCTTAAGTACTAAGAAATTGACTGTGCCATAAGTGTTAATTAGCGAAAAGTAACTTTGTCAGATGTACAAAATTTTTCAGAGTTGACAATTTATCCTAGAAGACAGAAATAACCATAGGTTGTTATGGATTATATTTATAATTCATAGAACAATATTTGTGGATCCATATCAAGAGGGGAAACGTGGCTAGTATTATTGCTTTAGTATAGTAATATTAATAATGCTATCCTTTCTGGAAGAATTGGGAGGAAGAGGACACCCGCCTAGCCAGGCAGATCAGCAAAATCAACCCTGGCGATCAATGAGGTAACAGATTACTAAAAACTCTACAGGGTTTCCCACTATTTATAAATCATCTTAACAAGATACATAAGGGACATGGGAATGGATTGTATGATACCTGCAAAATCAGAAGCATTTGGACAATAGAAGGGGGAAGATTGTTTTGGACCTGAGGAAGAAATTCATCCATCTTGACTTTTAATAAGACCAAGTCTCGGAAGCCGAGCAAGGCAATTTGGCGAACAGTCAATTCTTGGCCCTGTACACACAAAGAAAAAATACAGGACAGGAAAAATCATTGACAATGAGGTAAATTCAATTATATTTGTATAATGCCACCAGCTTTGGAGAAGCCAGAAGTAATGCTGTGGGTGAATGCATGGAAATTTCAAGGAACACAAAGTAGCACTGAATTGGTTACATTTTTTTTAAAAAAAGTTTTAAAATATTTTATGGCTAGTTTTTAAAGCATGGAGTCAGAAAGATATTTAGAAAAATGCAGGGGCAACATAGTGGGAACAACATTTATTCACAGCCATGCAACATAGTCTGAAGAACTTTAACAAATAGTAGGCCTGTTTGATCAAGAAAAAATTTGTTTCTAAAATCGTTTTGTAATTGGGGTGTTTTTTTGTTTCGATATTTAAAATAATTACAAAACTTTTCCAAAAAAAGTTTTGGTATTTACGAAATTTTGTAATTATTAACGAATTTTTAGAATATTTTTTTGAAAATAATATAAAATAATATTAAAAAATAATATTAAAAAATAATATTAAAAAATAATATTAAAAAATAATATTAAAAATATTTTAAAATGAAAACGAAACCGCACAGGCCTACTATACAGACATAGCGGGTTTGAGTCAGACCCAGCTAACACCTCCCAACAAAGGATTCCCCTGAGCAGGAAGGAGCCAGACTTTGAATACTTAAAATAATATTAAAAAATAAATTAAAAATTAATATTAAAAAGTAAATACTAATAAAATGATTTTAAATGGATAAAACGAACTCGCACTGGCATAGACTAATCAGTGCCCAAAACCGACACTATGAGAAAGAGAGAGCGACCACGTTGCCTACAGACATAGGCGGGTTGAGTCGTACCCTACTTTACACATTCCGGCAACTAAAGAGGATTCCCTCCTTCGCTGAGCAGGAGGAGGCTCAGACTTTGAAGCTTACAAGGCCTATATTCCATCAGCTATAAACCCCGCTTGCCTAGTTTCCAAGACTCATCTGAGGATGCCTGCCATAGATGGGGGCAAAATGTCAGGAGAGAATGCTTCTGGAACATGGTCATACATACAGCCCTGAAAACTCACAGCAAAAGAGCCTGGATGCAGCCTTCAATTTGTGGCAATCATGGTATTGGTCTCATCTCAGGCGGGCCACGGAGGCAGAGCCGGCGCTGCAGGAATCCCCTCCCCGGCTCCTGCGCTCGGACGTGTCCCTTTTGCACTGAAACTGCCCCTTCCTCCTCCTCCTCCTCCTCCTCTTCTGTACGACGACCACGATGATGCCGGAGACTGTCGAATTGGATGGCGCAACGCGCGCAGCTCATCGCCTTACAGACTGCCGCGCCGCCTGCGGTCACTTCTCCTCTCCTTCCATCCACCTCCTCCCAGCTGTGTTAGGCAGGAATGTGGACAGCCAGGAGGAGGAGAGAGTATGGAGAGGGGGTCCGGGCGAGGATGCCGGTTAGGCCGGTTGTAGGGTAATAATCGGAGCTCTGCCTCCTGCACACTACTCCGTCCTCCTCCTCCTCCTGGCGCCGCCTTCAGGGCGGAGCAGAGAAAACGCGTTTCGAAAGGAGTAGGGCCAGGATGGCGGAGCCGATTGAGTTGCGCGCGCGGCTTACCCCCGCCCCCCACCTCACCACACCCCCCCCCACCCTCCCCCACCTCCCCCCCCCCCCCCACCCCCCCCCCACCCACCCCCCTCCCTCCCCCCCCTCACCTCGGAGGAGACCGCCTCCGGCTCCTGTGCCCTCCTCCTCGCTCCTCATCACTCTCGGGCAGAAGATTATGAGAACAGTCTGGGAGGAGGAGGAGGAGGAGAGGAGGCGCAGGAGGCAGAGCGCGATTTTTACTCCTTGGACACCGGCGCATCTCGGCTCCTGCGCCCAATCCTCGCTGGCCTCCTGGGGGCCTCCTCCCTGGCTGTCACTTGCGCTGCTATACACAGCTGGGAGGAGTGTGGAGAGAGGAGGAGGTAGGGGCGCAGGAGCCAGAGGGCGCGGTTGTACGTACATATCGCCGGGCTCTGCCATGACATCCTGGGCCTTGCGCCCTCCGTCCTTCCTCCTCCTCCTGCTCCTCCCCGCGGCTGTGTTGCAGGAAGTGACAGGGGAGGAGGTAGGAGGAGGAGGAGGGCGGGGCAGGATGCAGAGCCTATTTTACGCGCTTTACTAATAATCGCGCCTCCGGTCTCCTGCGCCCTCCTCTCGCTCGCTCCTTCCTCCTAGCGCCAACAGATCTTGGGGTCACACCTCAGGGAGAGAGAGAGAGAGAGAGAGAGAGAGAGAGGGGGGGGGGAGGGAGGGGGGGAGGGAGGGGGGGAAGGGAGGAAGGGGGGAGGGAAGAAAGGAAGGGGAGGGGAGGAAGGAAAAGGAAAAAGGGGGGGAAGGAGAAGGAAAAGGAAGAGGGGAAGAAAGAGAAGGAGGGGAAAAGGAGGAGGAGGAGGGCGCAGGAGCCGGAGGCCAGTTGTAAGGGTAAAATCGGCTCTGCCTCCTGCGCCCTCCTCCTCCTCCTCCTCCTCCTCCTCCTCCGCAGCCTGGTGCAGGAAGTGGCGGGAGGAGGAGGAGGAGGAGGGCGCAGCAGCCGGAGCCGATCGGATGGCGCGCGCGCTCCTGCGCCCTCTTCCTCCTCCTCCTCCTCCCGGCACTTCCTGCAACACAGCTGGGAGGAGGAGGAGGAGGAGGAGGGAGGCGGCGGCGAGGAGGAGGAGGAGAAGCGGGCGAGAGACTGAGAAGGCAAGTATTAATAACCTTTCGTGGAGCATAATAAAAATTAGAAGTCTCCACCGCAGCTGTGGAGGAGGAGACGGAGCAGGAGGAGGGCACAGGAGGCGGAGCCGATTGGATGGCGCGCGCGCGCTCACCCTTACAACCGGCCTCCGGCTCCTGTGCCCTCCTCCTCCTCCTCCTCCTCCTGGCTGTCACTTCCTGCAACACAGCTGGGAGGAGGAGGAGGAGGAGGGCGCAGGAGCCGGAGGCCGGTTGTAAGGGTGAGCGCGCGCGCGCCATCCAATCGGCTCTGCTGGGAGGAGGAGGAGGAGGAGGAGGAGGGCGCAGGAGGCGGAGCCGCTCACTGGGTGCGCGCTCGCGCCGCCCCTTCGCCCCGCCCGCCCCATTTAGTATTACAAAACGGGCGAAAGCTCCTAAATACTCCGGCGCCGCTCACTGGGTGCGCGCTCGCGCCGCCCCTTCGCCCCGCCCGCCCCATTTAGTATTACAAAACGGGCGAAAGCTCGTAAATACTCTTGGAGTTGCCGTTTCGATATTTAAAAACCCTTCCGGGTTTAAAAATATGTTTTGATATCGTTCCGTAAATGGTAAAAATAACAAAACATTAACGAAATAACGAAATAACGAATCAAAACCGACAGGCCTAACAAATAGCATTAATCCAATCTGTTATCTCACACCTTTCTGTTACACTTTCAGATTTCTAAGGCTACTGTAAGAGATCGTGCTTTAGCAAAAGTTAACAGCTGTTGAAATAGTGTTGCATTACCATATGTTTATGGGCAAATAGGCAAACAAACTGCTGCCAAAATTAAGCAATTCGAAGTGCCTTCCCACCTACTTCAATGCTGATAGTTCCAGTGCAGAATTTACAACTTCTTCTTTTACATTCAAGTTAACTACGGTCTCTATTCTCCATGGGAATTAACCTATAGCTTAGTCAATCTACAACCAATGAAGCAGAGGGAATGAAGTGGAGGGAATCAATGTTTGTTAATCACCAATTCATAATGGGGTTAATGATACAACTAACAGGTTCATAAAAATGCAAAGTAAGAACAAAAGGTAAGGACTCTGAAGCCTGTCTTTCTGCTATAAAATGTTTTGCCTGCTTAAAGACTGTTGTTATCAGTATGCAACAAAACCAAAATAGAGCTATAGGCAGAATGAAATATGTTTCCTACATACAAATCAAAGATAGGTCAAATCAATGATATCTACCCAAAGAGGAACTCAATATTGTCTCAGCATACACACATTATTAATCTTAAAATAACAGGAATGAAAAGATATGCAGACATGTACAGGGAGAGTCAGCTGATGGCAGGGAAAAGGATGGTAGCAATGCAATACAGCTGTGAAGTAGAGTAATGTGACTTAAGGCTGCTTTGATAGAATATAGTTTTCAAGCACATGAGAAGTCCCAGGTACAATCTATTTTGAACTAGCTGGGCCTCATCTAGAATACCAATGTGAAGAGACTGACAAATAAATTGGAACAAGTTCAGAAAATGGCAAACATGATGGTCAGCAGTATGGAGAAAGGCCTTTTGGGAAAAGGGTGAAAGAACTATCCATGTTCAGCCCTGAGAAACATACTGAAAGAAATAGCAACACTCTTCATATATCTGAAAACCTTACACTAGCAAGTTCAGTCTTTATCGTACAGGGATGTTTACATACAACTAAGTTAATCACCAAATTAACTACCTGTTTGTTAAAGTGTCTTTTTTCACAACTTAGATGGAAGCACATCACTATATTAATATGCATTCTTGCCTCCCTCACAGTTCAATATCTCCCATTATAGTGAAAATGTGACACACTAATTTGCAAGTGAAGCATCATATGCAGTCAGTTCTTTACTAGCCTTATCATTCCCAAAATGTTTCTCTATCAATAACACTTTGTTCAGCACCAAATTTTCATCCTCTGACCTGAAATTAAAAACTCTTAAATCTCACTTCATGCAACACACATTTAAAGTTTTATAAATGGATGTTTCCCAAGGGCTTTTAGCACTACCAGTCAAGATGCACCTCTTCTGCAATTTTGTCCCAAGCAGATTTTTTATGATAAATGAAAATTTGGAACATAGGAGAGAAAAACGAATAGTAGACAACTATGTTTGAATGGCACACTGTTCTGAGAAAAGTCCATGTCTGTGGTAAAGGGATTGCAGAATAGCACCATTATGGTACAACTACATTCTTACCAGATTCACACTCCAATCCTACACACATTATATGGAGCACATTCCAGTAAATCAAAAAAGAAACCACCTCTAGTCTGTATAAGATATTTAGAATTATAGTGTGATTTAATAACCAAAATGGGAACTAAAGTCTTCTCAAATGAGGCACATTCACCTGCCTGCATTCCAACACATACCTGCTATCATCTGCTGCAAGTATAGAAGAGAGCAGAGGAGAGAGAGAAAGAGATACACATTATGGGAAATTAGTGTTTCTATAGTAAAAGGAATTTCACAGATCTCAAAAAAGCTTGCAAAATCATTAATTTCATCCATCATTGATAACATCAACAATCAAGATGTTATTGTCAACATTAGTATTGAACATCTTCAATTTGTTTCAATAAACATTGTATAAATTGTTCATTTTAAACAGGCAATCTGTAAAGCAGATCAAATATTGCCAGGTCACACATCTGAGCTCCTGTTCTTTGCAGAATTGTTCCGATGACAAACCACACCTGACTGCAAGCCTTCCCAAGTTTTAAACAGTTCTATTCTCTTCAGTCAGAAACATACTATAAACTTAGCCAAACCTCATAATAATTTATGAATACTTTTAAATCAGTGGTTCCCGACTTTTCTTTCTTTCTTTCTTTCGTTCTTTCTTTTTTTACCAGGGACCACTCGACCAGGGACTAATTTGACTGGGGACCACTTTCCAACATTAGTACCAAAAGGGTTACGAATCAGTTTTTGTTCAACTTCAGATTCGGTTTGGTTATTTGGGGTGCTGATTCAGAAAATTGCATTGGCTAGACCACATCAGCTCTAGTTTCTGATGCAGAACATAGACCATCTAGTAGTTGCCATCTGCTCACCCACAGAAAACCGTATTTAATAATCTAGTGCTGATGTGGTAGTAGGACTCTTTCATGGGTAGTCAGCCTCTCCCCTCCCAACATCCCTGTTGCCTTGGCAGTGTAAGAGGATTTCGTGAGACCAGACACTCTCATTGCCACATGGCTTTGAGGCAACGGTGAAGTAATGGTGAGGCAGCAGACCATATTTTTGTTCTTGCGGACAACTGATGGTCCATGAACCACAGGCTAGGAACCACTGTTTTAAATAAATATGGGCACTGTCAAGTTCAAAACAATGCATCCTTCCCCTTCTTATAAATCCTCAATAAACTAACACAATATTGTCAATCCTTCACATTACTGTGTATCTAATTTACCCTTTTCGTGTTTTTCTAAAAAAATATATAGCCTTAAATTTCAACCTGCATTTGACCACAGTTAGCCATCTTTAGTTGCGTTGTATTTGATTGTTTCTTTTTGAAAGCTGGGATAGTAATGAAATAGATCTGTCTCCTGACTTGGCATAAGTGAGAGAGATAGTGAGTATTACCTAACATTTTAGATCCAGACAGAAGAAATGTAAGCCAACCAATACTAGATTGCTCCTGGCAGATGCAAAAGCAAAGACAAGGTACAGAGCTTTCTTAGGAATTTCATTCTGCCTGACATTTGAACTGCCAGCAATTTCTCTTGCTTAGACAAGATTATTCCCTTGATTCTCAAGTACTGTAGTCCTCTCTAATTTAGGTTGCACAAATATTTGTAGAAAAAATATGTTCATCTCAACAAAATTAAACATAGATATTGTATAATAAACATAAAGAAATTATCCAATATTGTTCATCTTCTCTGAAAATAAGAGGATGGATTTAGTTGGTTTTTTGACCTTTAAAATTCCCATATAAAATATATTCAGTAGTTAAGATTCTTATGTCTGAATACTTAAAATGGTTAAAATTGTTGGTTTTTATTGATGCCAACAGAGTGAGAGGCCAGCACATATTTTTATTTACTTATTCCTTGAATCACAAAGGGGAATACATTCCTAGAATCAGAAAGACTGAAGTTTTAACTGTTGCCAAATACATCTACTCCAACTGTCAGCAATCTTAATCAAAATTTGATGTAGAAATATTGCCAAAACACAATTTGAAAATAAACAGAAATGCTTTTTCCTTCTCTAGTTTAAATTCTAGTTTGAATGCCATTTTGATCTCTTAAAGCAATGCTTCTCAGCCAAAGTGATGTGGGAGGCCAGCAACTCTTTCCCCTAGTATGCCAAATACCTGTACCATATCTATATCGTATTTTGACTGATTTTTTTTTTAACTTTTGGAAGATTTCTTGGATTCCACTATTATGGAAAATACAGAATATTAATGAATTTAGTAACAACAATAGCAGATTGTTACAACTTTTTTCTGTTCCAGATCTGCAGCCAATGGTTTGTCGTTCAACATTAGTTCATGAATCAGTATTTTCATCAGCTTTGTGTTAGGGTACAATATTGCCCCTGGAGAAAACATTTTTGTCATGGCATATGGTTTTGGAATTGCTATTTTCACTTGTCAAGGTATATTATGCACAGATTAGATGACCTCAATTATAGAAAAATCAGGTGGAGCCTCCTACGCATGGTCAGAACATGTGCAATGCAAGAGGTAGATGCACACCACTTAAATACACTGCAAGATACTCTTTAAAAAAGCAATCCTGTTCCATCTGCACCTGTGTATACATATGTTTGGTATTGTTTACTAGTTGAGTATTTGTAACACAGAATGGTAGATTCAAGTTGCAAGATGAGTTTCAGCTGCATACTTCCATGTAGGGACAGATCTGGGACTTCACTCCACAACTATGTGTTGTAGTAGAGCCTGTAAGTAACATTGCAAGCAGTAGTATGGGTGCCAGAAGAGGGAAAAGAGGTACTTGTGAGCAGGAGTCGGATGAGGAACAGCAAAGGAAAAGGATCCGGGATATACTTATGGCACCTACCGATGAAGATTCATTCGAAGGGTTTTCTGGAGATGAATGGTCAATGAGCGAGGGAGAGGAAGGAGATACAATGGATGGGAATAGGGGAACAAAGAGGGTTACTCAGGAGTAAGAATCAGATGAGGAGCAACAAAGGAAGAGGATCCGGGATATACTTACTGTCCCCACAGATGAAGAATCATTTGTGGGTTTCTCTGGGAGTGATGGGTCTGGGAGTGATGAAGATGGGGGTGACACATTGGACTGGACTAAGGTAAAAGAGGTACAAGATGTATGTGCAGAGCCGACGTCTAGTGACACATTTATGGGGTTCTCTGGTAATGAGGATTGGCAACCAGGAAATACATCTGAGTCTTGGGGGGATCTAAGTCTTGACAAAAGATGGAGAAGTTGGAGGGATGGGAGTAGGAGTTCACGTGTGGAATCAAGAACAGCTGCAAGAGATACGATAGGGCGGAGGTCAGCTCATCTGATGATGATGATGTGTAAGATAAAAGTAGGCTCTGAAATGGGGAATCTTCGCAGAAGGCAAGGTGTTGGTTTATGTCCGTGCGTTGGGTTCTTGTCGCTGCCTGTCTCATGTTGGCATTGGGTACTGGATCTACAGGTTACTGCTTTCGTTCGTGTGTGCTTCGACTCGGCTTGGATTCTCGTGAGTGTGGATTTCCCCTTCTTTGATTTCAGACCGGTTTGACTATGTCGCTGCCTACGTTGCCTTTGTGTTTTGACCAGAGACACTGAATTAAGTGTCTTTGAGTCCTTTTTCTTTGTTTAATAAACTCTATTTTGGAACTAAATCTGAGTCTGGCCCTTTAAGGCATCTATGTCCCGACACTATGTGACTGCCACAAAGATCCAAGGCAGTGGAGAAGCTGAAATTAACCACAGTTCAGGATATCATATCACATATATATTGTCTAAACCAGTGTTTCCAAACTCTGGTCTACCAGGTGCTCCCAGAATCCCTGATAATTGCCCAAGTCAGCTGAGGCTTCTGGAAGTTGAAGTCCAAAAGTTTTGGAGGAGTTGAGTTTAGGAATCACTGGACTAAACAACAGCTGCAACATCCCAGCATTTTTGGAGCTTGAAAGAATTTCCCACATGTTAAACCTAAAGGATGGTTGTTGTTAATTGAATACTTATGTGTATGTATATTTTATTTATTTACTATATTTGCATACAGTTCAATTAACAATGCCCTCTTGGCAATTAACAAATTATTTTTTTTACTGTAAAATATGTATCTACCAGCTGGGAATAGTGCAAAATGAACTCTAGTTCATAAAGCCTTGCTCATTAAGCTTTATTCAGGCAGTTACTTGAATGCAGGAATATAAGAAGTAGAAAGAAGGATGGGGACATGCACACCGATTCATATGCCCTTGTACTCTCTATATCGCACATCACTCCATATTTTGCAGAGGCAGTACTTACAGTATGTTTACTTGAATGTATGTAAGATGGTTCAAGCAATCAAGAACCCTACTGTATCAACGTGGTCTAATCTTCTACTTTAGGGATGTTTAAAGAAGGCCCACAGATTACTTGCACTCTTCACCTTCTCCAGTTTACTCCCCAAACCCCAATATTTTCTCTAAGGGTCACAACAGAGAGCAACTTTGTCATATTTTTAAAACATCACAGCTATTTTCGGCCAGTGCTTTCTGACATAGTTTAGGGGGAAATGCTCCCAACGGTCTAAAATATGTGCAAAAGGCTGAAAATGTGATAGTATCCCTGGATGATTAAAGGCAATGTTTACATCAAAAAAGAAAAAGAAAAAAATGTCCTTCTAGGTTTGAAGGACATGCATGCACTCCCCAGATTTTTGAAGAAAGCCTATCTTTGCCCTGTGGATATAGAGCTTATACAGATCTTAAGTAAATGCCCAAAGAAACCTAGTTGTTATTTTTATATGCCAACAAACTCTTTGTTGTTTAAATCCTAGTATAGTCATACCCAAGTTTGCTGGCCAAAAAAAAAGTTTAAGCAACGCATTAGTGAAATCTGAAATTTTCAAATATTTTTTTCTTTAAAGGTTTAAGGTCATGAGTTTCTCAATAGCTTTGCAATAAGCTGCAGATGTATTCTCCTCGTGGTAAGCTTTCACATTATTCTCTTTCTTGTAAGCTCCTGTCTTAACTAGGCTTACCTGAACAGGATAAAATATTGCCTGAAGTGTTGGAAGAGTCTCTGTGAAGAAGTGATCCCAGATTTCAGATAGTACATAGATGCGATTCTCTCCTAAAGCAAAGAAAAGGGAGGGAGGGAGACAGTCTTTTAGGGATTAGGTCACTGTTCAAGTAGAAACCTCTCATTGCTAAGTTTTTCCCTACCAAAATAATATGGCAGTTCACTGAAAAGGTGACAAGATTGGGCAGCTATAGCAGTTGATATTTGCTCACCTTCAGAAATAAAATGCTAGCTCCTGTCCAGAAATAATAAGCCTCTCGCACTATCACAGCTTAAGGTCATATAAAAAAACTCACATAAAATGACATGATTTATTCTTATGGTAAAATTCAGTGGGAAGATTATGCATCTTCTTTGCAAAGAAACCCAACTGCCAAGAGTCATGCTAACCTTGTTAACCTTTAACTAAAAATATTAGTACTCTCTGTTAGAGAGGGGTAGAAAAAATAGCATGAATTCAGAACTTGAAATTTAAACACTGAAAATGATGATATCACTGACTGATATCAGGGGAGGCATATCTCATAAATCCTACATGCTTTCCAGTTGGAGAACTCCTCTGTGCCCTTGTAATGTGACAAACTTTTATTGCCATCGAAAGGAGATCAGACTAGAGTTTGGAAAGGGTACCTTTTGGAGGCCAGAGGCCATGCTGCCTGGGGAGATTCTGAGATCTATAATAATTTTTTAAAGCTCTGATTCAGACCTTGTGCTCTCCAGCTTATATAGCAAAGCATCCTGAGGCCAACAATGAAGAATGCTGCACTGGATTCTGTCATAGGGTTGCTACGTGTATTAGCTCCCCATACCATTGAGCTGCCCCCACCCCTCTTGCTCCATACACACACACACAGAGAGAGAGAGAGAGAGAGAGAGAGAGAGAGATACAAACATACAAACTTAGAATAGCTGAAGAACTATATTGAAATATTACTTATATATCAGTTTATAGCGTGTCCTGTAAGACTTTCAAGCTGAATATAAGCTTTGTAAATCCAAATTTAACAAGCCCCCCCCCCCCCAGCTATGTAGTCCATTAAAAACATTTGGATGTTATCTTATTCTGTTGTTTTCCAGGAGACTTAAAACAAATAATTAGAAAAGCAACCTAAAATGGAACACAAAACTATGAGATCAAACACACCAAAGCTGCAAAATACAGCAACTGCACAGATAAAGCTAGCCCAATTCATCCAAGATTGTGAGTTTGGATGAAGAAAAAGATGGCACCAAGCAAACCTTTCTGGATAGGCTTCTACAAAACTGCCTTCCTCTCTCCCATGGTTACTTGCCTCATTTTACTAGGGGCACTCATTAAAAGGACTTAAAAAACTATGAAGTTGGTATATTTGAAAGAAGACAATCTTTCAGATAATCCACATTCAAGGCTTTTAAAAGTTGAAACTATGGGAAATGAACTGAGAACCAGTATAGTTAATGAAGCATACACAGAATATACTCTAATACCAATATGCCAGTTCTATTCTAGTCTGGGTACCATTTCATGCCATTCTTAACAACAGCCTGATACACTGCAACACTCTGGACTATTACAGCCAAGCCCTGTAAAAAATCACTTAGGGAACTGGGTATGTTTAGCTTGGATAAAAGAAACCTGAATGAGGAAATGATAGCTATGTTGAAATATTTGAAATATCATATTGAAGATGCAGCAGGCTTTTTCTGCTGGTCTTGGGACTACAACATGAAGCAATGGATTCAACTTGCAGGAAAAGAGATTCCACCTAAATATTAAGAAGAACTTCCTGATAGTAAAAACTGTTCAGCAGTAGAATACGAAGCCTCAGAGTATTGTAGAGTCTCCTTTTCTGAAGGTTTTTTAAAATAAAGAATCTAGATGGCCATCTATCAGGACTGCTTTACTTGTGTGTTTCCGAATGGCAGTGAGTTAGACTGGATGGGCCCTGTGGTCTCTTCCATCTCTTACGTGTCATGCTTATGCGTTGGAGATTGCCACAGTATGGGTAGCTGCATCAAGATACCTCCACCCAGATAAGGTCAAGTCAACTCTATTTATACCCTGTGCCATCTCCCTGTGATCACAGTTGGGGTAGCTGCCAAAGGTGCTTTGATATCCACAAGGAAGTCTTCATCTCATCTACTTCTCTCTTAGAACACAATCTGTGCATAGAGTTGATTACAAAGTTAGTTTTCATCCCTGGGCTGTGTCAGGAAGGAATCTACATGGGTGCCAGTACATTGATTCAGCTAAAAAATCCAACAAATGCTCAGTTCAGCAAAGGACAAGAGGGATCCTCTCACTTCTGCAGGAGTCTACCGTGTACCATGCAGCTGTGGACAAGTCTACATAGGGACCACCAAATGCAGCGCCCAAACACGAATCAAGGAAAATGAAAGGCACTGCAGACTACTTCAACCAGAGAAATCAGCCATAGCAAAGTACCTGATGAACCAACCTGGACACAGCATTTTATTTGAGAACACAGAAATGCTGGACCACTCTCACAACCACCATGTCAGACTACACAGATAAGCCATTGAGATACACAGGCATGTGGAAAATTTCAACAGAAACGAGGAAACCATGAAAATGAACAAAATCTGGCTACCAGTATTAAAACAGCACAACAACAGAGAGGAAACAAACAAGGACATCTAACCACCTCTCAACAAAAGTTTGCTCTGTCGGCCATTATATGCTAATCAAGGTGGTCAGTTGAAACATTCACACCTAGCTCCAGCAGACAAGAGTCCTTTGTCTCACCCTGGTCATTCCACAGATATATAAACCCTTTTTCCTAGTTCCAACAGACCTCACTACCTCTGAGGATGCTTGCCATAGATGCAGGCGAAACGTCAGGAGAGAATGCCTCTAGACCATGGCCATATAGCCCAAAAAAACCTATAACAGCCCATTATTTGAACTCTAAGTGTAAATCCAAATGTATACTGTTGTCTATCCACACTAGATTTGTTCATGATTCTGCATCCCCATCTGCATTCTAGTGTCATGCATCACATGTACCTGAGGCACAGAAGCATATGTTTGGGTACTCACCTATGGAAATTCCACAAAATTGTTTTACCACCAGTATTTTATGTTTCCTGAAACCAAAGGGGGCAGGCAGAATATGCATGGCTCACATACTACAAGGAAGACCAAACAATCCACAGTCTACTGAACCAAGCAGCCCGTCTCTTCACCACAAACTTTGTAACTTCATTGGTTGGCAAACATTTTCAATTCACATGCCCTAAAGGGCATCACCATGGAACAGAAGAATAATTTCTTCCAAAATTAGCTTGAGCAGCCACAAACTGGCACAATTTGAATTTCCATATCACACTGAATGATTCAGAAGCTTAACACGAGCAAAATGCCAGAATGAGCTTTTATTTCCAATCTGGAAGCACTGGTTTCTAGCTGCTCTGTGTTCTATATAGAGAGCCTGAAAGAACACACAGGGATATATGTCCCAAAAGGATGTATTTCATCGTGGATCTCAGATTACTTACCTCAGTTCTGAATATTGTCATATTGCTGCTAGATCCTTTTCTTTATAACTAGGCTTGCTTCCAAATAAGTATACTCTAAGCTGTAGCCTTAGCAACCTATGTCCCACTGATTTCATCACAATTTTACTACTTTCAAAACTGAACATACATTGAGAAACTCTCCCCTGAAGCAACTCTGCAAGTTCATTCTAGCTGGAATGACTTTCAAAAACTGGACTTAGACATAATAGAGTTCGTTAAGCCCTAAATATTTTTGCATCAACCATCTAATCCAGGGGTCCCCAAACTTTTTGAACAGAGGGCCGGGTCGCAGTCCCACAAACTGTTGGGGGGCCGGATTATAATTTGAAAAAATACATGAATGAATTCCTATGCACTCTGCACATATATTATTTGCAGTGCAACCCCCCCCCCCCCAAAATCAAAAAACAAAGACCCACACTTCTATATAAATAAAAATGTAATGTTCGTTTGTGGGATTAACAGAACTCAAAAACCACTGGACGAATTGACACCAATTTTAGACACAAGACACCTAACAAACCAATGTATGTCCTTCACACAAAAAATGACTTTGTCACTTGGGAGTTGTAGTTGCTGGGATTTATAGTTCACCTACAATCAAAGAGTATTCTGAACCCCACCAACGATGGAATTGAACCAAACTTGGCACACATTTCTCCCACGACCAACTGAAAATAGTGGAAGGGTTTGGTGGGCAATGTCCTTTGGTTTTGGAGTTGTAGTTCACCTACATTCAGAGATCATTGTGACACAAACAATGATGGATTGGGATCAAACTTGGCACAAATACTCAATATGCCCAAATGTGAACACTGGTGGAGTTTGGGGGAAAATAGAATCTTAACATTTGGGAGTTGCAGTTGCTGGGATTTATAGTTCACCTACAATCAAAGAGCATTCTGAACCCCATCTAAGGTGGAATTGAACCAAACTTGGCACACAGTTCTCCCATGACCAACAGAAAATACCTGGAAGGGTTTGGTGGGCAGTGTCCTTTGGTTTTGAAGTTGTAGTTCACCTGCCTCCATAAATCACTGTGGACTCAATGATAGATCTGGACCAAACTTGGCACTGATATTAATATGCCAAAATGTTAACACTGGTGAAGTTTGGGGAAAATAGACTGACATTTGGGAGTTGTAGTTGCTGGGATTTATAGTTCACCTACAATCAAATAGCATTCTGAACCCCACCAATGAATTGAACCAAACTTGGCACACAGTTCTCCCATGACCAACAGAAAATACTGGAAGGGTTTGGTGGGCAGTGTCCTTTGGTTTTGGAGTTGTAGTTTACCTGCCTCCTTGGAGACCAGAGCGGCCGGAGCAGAGGGTTCCCGCGAAGGCCGGAGCGGCGCCGGGTGGGCGTGGCCAGGGGCCGCTGGCGTTCTCTGGCCACGCCCACCCGGCGTCGCTGGCCACGCACACCCAGCGCCGCTCCGGCCTTTGCAGGAACCCTCTTCTCCGGCCACTCTGGTCTCCAAGGAGGCAGGTAAACTACAAAAGGCTTCTCCCTCCCACACGAGCAGAGTGGCCAGAGCAGAGAGTTCCTGTGATGGGCGTGGCCAGGCCAGGCCTCGCGGGCCGGAGAAATGCCCTCGGCGGGCCGCATACGGCCCGCGGGCTGTAGTTTGGGGACCCCTGATCTAATCACTAGTTAAGAAAAAGCTTAAGTTCATTTTAATTATTTAAAAGTATATAAAAATCACAGCATAGATGTGTAAAGTATGGTATGAGTTGGTTTACTTTCTTTGCTATGCTTCTGCAGGTTTGAGGACTAGTTGGATCTAAGTATCAGGAGGAAGATAAAGCCATACATGTTGATAAAGCAGGCCCATAACTGCAACTTTTTAAATAACAAGTCATAATTGCTTTCTGGTAACGCGATAGAGGAGGTTTTGTAGTACAGAAATAGATTGACTACTTTTGGGTCATCAGTACCTAACAAGAAGACAAATATTCAGCAACCCCCATATTTCTTGAATTATTTACATGTCTGGTTATGATAAAGTCAAATCCCACAACCTACGGAAGCCTGCCTGGGCTTTTCTGGGTTTGACTTTAAAATGCCAAGTATTGTAATACAGGTACAGCAGAGACTTGTTTATCCAACATAAATGGTCCAGCAGAACGTTGGCTAACTGAAAATGTTGGATAATAAGGATGGATTAAGGAAAAGCCTATTAAACATCAAATTGCATTATGATTTTACAAATTAAGCACCAAAACAACATGTTTTACAACAATTCGACAGAAAAAGTTCAATACGGTAACATTCTGTAGTAAGTACTGTATTTAGCACCAAAACCTCACAATGTATTGAAACAGCTGTGGATCTGAGCGGGAGGCAGACTGTGTTGGATAATACAGAACATTGGATTAGCGAAGGCTGGATAAGTGAGATTCTACTGTATATCCAATTGTAACCAGATTTGCATATACAGGAAGTCCCCAAGTTACGAAGAAGATAGGTTTGGTTTGTTCTTAGGCTCAGTTTGTTTTTAAGTGAGAACAAGTACATTTTTAAAGTCTAACTTCAGCCAAAAATATATAACTTCTAGCTTTGGCCAGCATAGGGAAGGGTTAACAATTTAAAGTGCTGGTCTTGGCCTATAAAGCCCTAAACTGTTCTGGTCCAACTTATCTGTCCAAACACATCTCCTCTTATGAGCCTACTAGAACTTTAAGATTGTCTGGGGAGGCCCTGCTCTTGGTGCCACCTTCTTCTCAAGCACGATTGGTGCAGACGAGAGACAGGGCCTTCTCAGTGATGGCTCCTCGGCTGTGGAAAAAATGGTTTGTTGTGGAAACAAGGATTGATGCTAAAGCTTCAGTGGAGATACCTTTTCCCCATGATAACTCTTTCAGAAATGTATTTCCCTTCTGAGGGGTAGATTTCTCTCACTTTCTATTGGCTTACCCCCATTTTTAACTGAGTCATTTATAAGTCAAATGTTTGTAACTTGGGGACTGCCTGTAAAGTACAGACTACTCATCAGTTGCCATTATATATCTCCTCCTCCCTCAAATTATTTCCTTAATTAACAACTTTGTTACATTTGTAATATGTTTAAAAGATTCTGGGAAAATAACTGTAGCTCAATACAGAATGCCCTGCGGTTAGGATTCCCAAAAGATAAGACATACTTCCCTACAGAAATATCAGCAATTACAAAAAAAAAAAAAACAAAAAAAAAAAAACCCCAAAACAAAACTCTTAACTGTTGCTCAAGACTTGATTGGTGGTAAGTTTGAGCAGAGAATGCAAATGGTTCAGCTTTCCAACCAGAAAGGCGAAGATGTAGATAGGTTAATGTAGGAAACCAATAAAAACCAGTTATGCCACTGGGAAGCATCGGCAGGCCGTACTCCCCAGATGCATACACTGTTCCTACCCCACTGACCATGTATGGACATTACCCTTGAGGGCAGGAAGGATGACATCACCTATAGCTGACCTCACCTGTAGATTACCTCACCCTTGAGAGTCCAACCAATCACCTGGCAATTATGTAATCCCCCACTGTTGCTATGCAGACTTTGCTGAAGAGCACCAGAACCTATATAAGCTTTGCTTGGGCAACAATAAAAAAGCCATCATCATTCACTTCTACACCCTGCTTCCCGCCTGGTCATTATTGCGTCTTTTCCCAACAGGTTAATATTAGCAATTTTTGCTAAAATATTATGAATGAACATACCTGGAAGTTGATTCTTTTCATTGTTATACCGAGAAAAGAATCTTACTATATTTCTATGGATCTCTAATTTAAATTCTGAGGAAACAATGGAGTCAATAAATTATACTCATTATAATATGGATCATGACAATAAATTATGCTTGTGAAAAACAGACTGTTAGGTCCATTTAAAACTATTTTACCATTTTTCACCTCTGAACTTTTAATATACTTCTGGTTTTACTCTATGCTGGTGGTTTTGGTTTGGTTTTATAGTCCATATAATTATATGATTGTTGCATTTAAAAATATTTAATATTTTTAACAGCTTGGTTAATGGGTGGTCTAAAAGCAGATTAAAAGATTTTTGAATAGGAATCCATACAGTGGGGGAGGGGGTGTACACACACATGTTGCCTCTTGGCATTTGCACACAAAAAGCCACTTCTACACCTTCCTATTATCAAATTTCACATGTGTTTCTTATACGAGTACCTAACTGCTTCTTCAAATACCCAGCCATATGACTCAGGTGCTGCTTTTTCCATAACCTAATTTCAGCAGCCCAAGCCTCAAAGGATGAGTCATAGAGCTTCCTGTAAGCCCCAAACCCTCCTCCAAAGCATCCTCTCTCCACTTGCCTTCAGAAAGCTTAACCTTTTCCTCTATGAACAGCAAGCCCTTCGCAAGGAGTTGGTTCTGTCAAGAGAGAAAAAAAAGAGAAACATTGCATTTTCCCACAAAGTCAAACATACACACTTCATTATTTGAGTTTAAGAATTGCACTGTATTTGGAGTGGACTGAATATGCAATGTGTTTGTGTCTCAGTTTGATTGAAGCACACATTTGCAATATAAGTATTGTATAAGTTTAAACTGATAACTGGTCTCATTTTTCACCTGCTGGAAAGGGAAGTCATGTTTTTGTTGCATTGTAATCATTGTATTGCATTTTATTCTGAGCTTTGTAAACTGCTCTGAGAATGCATGTTGATGAATGGCCATATAAATATAGTTGACAAACAAGGCAAATGAAGAAAGCTATCTGTGCCCCTGATTAGCCAAAGCAGCATTTGAACTGCCTGCCAATGTAGTTATATAGTAGGTGTCAAACAGGGTTAAAATGAAACAAAGTTAGAGCACACATATCACAATACAAACAGGGACCAAATCTCAAATTTAAAAACTCACATTCTGCACATATAGTAAGTTCACAAAAGCTGTGTTTGGTTCCTTTTGACTTAACAATTTAAACAAACAAAAACTATACCACACATTTAAAAAAGAACTAGGCATCCCAGCACATCAAATACACATAACCCAAACATCTCTCTGAGTCAACCAACTTGGTTCATCAACTTTAATGAGACAGAAAACTAGACATTAATTTTATTTGGGCCTGCAAGAAAGGAAATCCACTGTCCAAAAGCTTAAAATAAAATATGATATCATGACTCTGGAAAGGAATTCGTGCAGTTCTAGGGTTGTTGGCTTGTGTGCCCCACTTTACATGGATCCACACAATATCTGCATTTGGAATGTTATTTTGTTACTGTGTTACTACTTTTTTTCTGTGTTATTTTGATTATGTTGTTTGTTGTTTATGTTTTGGTTTTATTTTGCTGTAACATGTTGTCCGGGTTTGGCCCCATGTAAGCCGCCCCGAGTCCCCATTGAGGAGATGGTGGTGGGGTATAAATAAAGATGATGATGATGATGATGATGATGATGATGATGATGATGATGATTTGTTCAAATTGCATTTGGCCAGGCTCTACTCAATATTATTCTAATCTCTCTCTCTCTCTCTCTCTCTCTCTCTCTCTCTCTCTATGGTCAAGTTTCAGGTTGTCGGTTTATTTGAGATAACACATGATAGTAGAACTAAAGGCTTATCTTATCCAGCATATCCATCAGCGGTTAACCAGATGCCCGTAGGGAGCCCAGAACATATATAAGACTGCATTGTTCCCAAGCATCAGCTGAACGCAGCAAACAGTTTAGCCACTGCGAAGACCAGTTGATCATGGTATCTTTCAGATAGCACAGAAAGAACAACTTTCTGTGCTATCTGTAATATTTCCTATCCTTAACTGAAATATTTCCTATTCAGGTTCTACTGCTGCAAGATAGGAAAAGAAATTCCAACACTATCATTTTTTAAAATGTTACTTCTGCCTTTTGCTGTATGTGGACATAAAAACGGGAGCAAGAGTTCATACGGCTCTTTTCTCTGACTCATTAAGCCAAGTCAAGACAGAAGCAAACCTGGGAGGTAGATTCCATATTTCTCTCCAAAATATACTTAGAAATGCACTAACATTATTATTCTTAACCTTTACACAATCTCGTATTTCATATAATGATGTTCAGACACTACATATAGAACAAGCTTAGAAAAATTCCCTTTGTGGGCAAGTGCATACAGCCAGTTGTAGGACTGATGCCAGAAAGGAAAAAAAAGCCACACAAAGATTCAAAATGTTGGGCATGTGTGAGAAAGGCACTCTCACTTTGAGAGAAACAACTATTTATTTGCAGTGCTTTTTGTCCAAGCATCTGTATTATTTTTGGAAGTCTACAAACAGAATGCCAACTTAATCAAAGGAGAGACGAAAATCTGGGATTAGAGCAAAAATGATCATATACTGCTAGCACTTAGTTTCAGTTTTCACTTTGTACTCAGAGGCCTCTGTCTCAATTTAAACAGTAAGGTATTTCATAAAACTAATAATGGATCATGCATTTCAACGTTGGTATCAGAAATTATGTTTCAGAACCAAAATGTTTAGGGAATGTTAATTGCATGAAAAGTTTATCATATTTTCCAGAATACTAAAACAAAAATCAGAACCAGAGTTTGGGGTTGTTAATTTTGTGTGTGACCACATACGAAATCCCTCCAACCAGGAAAGGGGGGAAAAATCGGTACAATTCTTACTCATGCTGCTCTCATGTGTCGATAGAGACATATTGCTTTTCTTTTCATTCTACCCCAGGAACATCAGAATTTTTTATTTGCTACATGCATGCACACACACCCCATTTGCTCAGGGCATTACTCTCTCATCCTAAATTGACCACATACAGAGCAGCCAGTGGTCTAACTTCAAAAATTAAGAATTTCTGTAGAGATATTTTGCAATGACTGCAGAAAGGTGAAAAATATTTTATTCATTTACTCTATTTGTACTCCGCCTTTCTCTACCCCGAAGGGCTTAAGGCGGCTTACATAGAGGCAATTATTCAATGCCTTAAAACACATACAATTCCCAAAATTAAAATTAAATTAAACTTTAAAATATATTAAACATTTTAAAACATTACATTCCATATTACAATCACGCCATCCATAGTTGTAGTCCAAGGCATTCTATAGTCATTCCATATATTCCAGATCTGTTAATTGCACTGCATTATTCTCCAAAGACCTGATCACACAGCCAAGTTTTTACCTTTCTTCTGAAGGCTAGGAAGGAGGGGGATGATCTAATGTCATTAGGGAGGGAGTTCCATAGCCGAGAAGCCACCACTGAGAAAACCCTGTCCGTTGTTCCCACCAATCATGCCTGCAAAGGAGGCAGGACCGAGAGCAGGGCCTCCCCAGACAATCTTAATCTCCAAGATGGTTCATAGGGGGAGATACGTTTGGACAGGTAAGCTGGGTTGGAACCATTTAGAGCAGTGTTTCTCAACCTGGGGGTCGGGACTCCCGAGGGGGTCACGAGGGGGTGTCAGAGGGGTCGCCAAAGACCATCAGAAAACACAGTCTTTTCTGTTCATCATGGTGGTTCTATATGGGAAGTTTGGGCCAATTCTATTGCTGGTGGGGTTCAGAATCCTCTTTGATTGTACATTAATGATAAATCCCAGCCACTATAACTCCCAAATGTCAAGGTCTGTTTTCCCCAAGATCCACCAGTGTTCACATTTGGGCATATTGAGTATTCGTGCCAAGTTTGGTCCAGATCCATCATTGTTTGATTCCACAGTGCTCTCTGGATATAGGTGAACTACAACTCCAAAATGCATCTCAACAGTTACGCAAGTATTTTTTTTTCAAGTACAGTACATGACAAATTTGTCACTGGATAATGTATAAGACTGAATGATTATAGGACTACTAAATCAACGCTCACATGCAGTTAGACAAGAGCATTATTTGTTACAATTGGAATAGGTAAATTACAGCCCTCCAGGTGTTGGACTACAAGCCCCATCAATCTTTCACAATGCCTTTGCTGGTAGGGCTGGTGGTGATTATAAGCCCAAAACATCTGGAGATGTACAACTTCTCTGTGCCTGTATCAGAGCCAACAAGGGCACAAGAAATGCAGACTGGAAAATCTGTATTTCCTACAAATGTTAGTCAGCCAAACATTGCTAAACAAGTAAAGATTAGTAGAAATATATTGTCAAAGTCTTTCATGGCTGGAATCACTAGAGTGTTGTGTGGATTCTGATCTGTACAGCCATGTTCTAGCAGCATTTTCTAGCAGGAGAAAATGCTGCTAGAACAAGGCCATACAGCCTGGAAACCACACAACACTCCATTAGCAGAAATGGCATATTCTGTTCTTTCAACTACTAGACCAAAGCATGGAAAGCAAGATCAATATGCTTCATAATTGCTGGTTAACTCTTCAGCCACAGCACTGAGTGAAAATATTATAGGTTGATATTTGTCTTCTCTCAAGAACATCAGAATTGATGACTAATTCTACTTCTGAAACAGTTTACTATACTGTTACCAAATGAAAACTTTTCTCATACTTTTCCACCCTTCATATTTAAAGGCAAGGGAGAAAGGAACTGAGTTACCATGTGGTAACTGTAGCCTGACACATCTCCCTATTTGGAATAGTGCTTTTATTTTGATGCAACTTCTTGATGTAGTTTTTCAGTGATCCACAATTAAGGCATTCTGATTGCACATATGGTACAGCTGAACAAAGGTATTTTCTCATTCACTGCAATGGAGAAAACTGTCACATCTGTGCATCTAGATATCACTGATAAAGAGAGAATGGAAATGCCTTCTTTCTGTGCCAGTAATTATATATGTGGTCAGAATATCCATGTTTGAGTTTTGGTCTGCTGGATCAAAGTTGTGCAATGGTAACTTGTTCATATGTGTTTTATAACACCTATCAGACCTATTCCTGTACCTCCAACAATTGCATAGAACAGGGAATTTCATCAGGAGAATTTTGCATAGCATTCATCTCCTGAAATTCCCTCTTCTGCACAACTACTAAAGAGTTTAAAAATATGTCCCTCACTTCATCTAGAAACCCTAGATCTGTGGCAAATAGTGGAAGGTGATGGAAGTTCATTTCAACAGCATCTGGCAATCCACAACTTGTCCACCCATACCTTAATTAAAATACCTTAATTAAAATATCCAGATCACAAAAGATTGCACTGCGTGCCAGTTTTATCCGAGATGAGTTGGTCTGTCTTAGAGTGAAGACATTGCATTGGTTGAATGCAGCCTTATTTTTAGTTCTACTGACTTCTTAAGAAAACCAAAAACATGGAAAGACTGACATTATGTTTTAGACTTCTGAACTTAAGATTTGTGATGGGTCTCCTTTTTAGTTACTCTTATTTCTTTGACATTTCTAGGAAAGAAAATTATCTTCCTGAACAGAATATTCTTTTCCACAGAAGTGGGTTGCTTCAAATATTTTAATGAG